AATACGGATCGCTGCACTGATCGGTCCAACAGTCTGACCACTTGACTGACACGTTCTCTTCCACAAATATCCGAAAAAGCATTGCTCAAATCTGTCCCGGAGGTGAATAAAACAATCGCTTTTTGTTTTATAAACATCACTGGATTCGAATCAGAACTCGTGGAAGATATTGCACACTCATTGGAACAATGCAACAGCTCTTAGGTCCTCTCTGCTGAAACCAAACACGCCTGTAAATTACTCTTTTCATGTTCCTGGTATTAAAATCCTACGGAGATACTTAAAACACTCTTTCTGCACTAATACTCGTCCATTTTTCAACTATTCCACCAACTACTGTCTGTCCGAGCGCTCTACTTCACTTGAGTAGGTTTGTGTTTTTACATCCAGATATCGGCTACCTGCACTCCCCTAGATACCCGATTTGTTGCAGTCCTATTGATCTACCTTTGATGAGAGCCAAGGTTTATGAATGCATTTCGAACCTCTCATCATCCCATTCTTTAACTGTGCCTCCATTTATCTACTGTGTCCCGACAACTGACATTAACTAAACCCATCGATATATACTAGTCACCATAGTTGACGCTGAGAAGCTGCAGCGAACGTTCTTCCAACGGTACCAATCGAACCACTCAGTCATCGGAATCCAGGGACTCCTTGTTTGATGTCGTTTGACGTTTCAACTAATTCTTTCGATAACACGTAACTGGTGGATGTCCCCGAAGTCATTCTTCATTTCATTCGAGCCCTCATCGGTCATATTGTTGTTGTTTGCATGGCTACTTCGGTCCAAAATTTGTGGTCGTTCTAATGACTCCGTCCGTGTCGTCTCTCTTGACCTGTCCATCTTATTTCCCAGTCGGTTAACGTTTCTGTTGCTTTCCGTTCAGTTCTTCCCTTCTAATGTGAATGTACTGAAGAATCCAACTTTTATCCTGTTGGGTTCATTGAGGATAGTAATGAAATTTACTGAACCCAGTCGCTAGAATATTGGTTTCAATGACTCGAATGAACTCAAATTGTAGGACTTTTGTAATCAGTTTGTTCCATATTCTATTATCCAAGTAAAGAATTATCTGGGTATTCTTTCTTGCTCCGTTCAATCCATTCCTTGCCCGTGTTTTATTTCCACCATAAGCGTTGTTTTATTCTTTTGCGGTTCACCATTGTATACGGATGTTTTCTTGATAATTGCTTGGGTTGAACTGAGTAACCTTCATCTCGGTTGAGCTTTCATTTGACGCACTGACTGCTATATCACAGCTTCTGTGCTGTCAGTGACACGCCTACAAATCCCGTTGTCGGCTTAGTCGGTCTGACCACTTTTAGGTTAGAACACTTCGTCATCTCAATCGGTGGAATATAAATATTTTTCAAATAAAACGTCTTGGACCCGTTTAGACTATCTTTAAAATCGCAAATCCTTCATCAAATTCACCCGAATTTTTCAACTTGCGGCGCAATGATTAGGCAATCTCGGTGCCGTCTGCTGCCACATGTTTGTAACTAAATCAGCTCTACTCTCCCGGGCATCGCGGGTGGAGTAGCAACAACTGGGGTGATTAACCACTACCTTTTTATAGAATGAGTGAACGCTGGTGATCAGTGGTGATTTCCAAAGGAGTTAGTCGATTTTCGCCTGGCATGCAATCACTGCAAAAAACCATAAATGTCAGTAGAAGATAGCATTTTGTCTGCGAATCAGGCTTATTCCTAGATAAAGTCATCGCCGTCGCCCTGTTGATCTACATATATCGTTCAGTTCTACAAACCCATAGATCACGGTCCTCGAGATTGACCTAAAATGGCAAAGGGCACTGCCTGTTATGACCAAATTTCGTAAAGAATGACGCTTTTGCCTCTAATCGCTTCCTATACATCCAGTTTATCCGCAAACTGAACTGCTTCCGCTCTGCGTTTCCATGATCTATAATGTACAATCTTCAGGATGAAAACATGCACTGCAATATTGGATGCAAGTAGAGTAAATACCTATAGAATGTTGACTTTTCTGGTTCCACATTTTAAAAGTTGAACTTTGTCGGTCGGAACGAACAATGTTGGAAGAGGTGATTAGAGCTCCGCGATTCGGTTGTTCTGAGACAAAACTTGGCTTCTGTTTCTTGATATAAATGATGCAGTCCAGGGCCTCGATTGATGAGTAACTGTGGTTCAAATGTTTTCTGTCGCAAATAGCGTCATTCCAAACAGATCTAATCGCTAACATCTTTGTTGCATTGTTATGTCAATACTCTTATATCGATCATAGTTACAACTCAATCATTATCTTTCACAGTACACTCGATAGCTATACTACGTGGCTCTCTTTATGGAATGGAAGTCACACATGCTATATATATATATATACTGTATTATTTTCGTCTAGCCTAGTGCGATCTCGTAATGAGTTTTATTCCATCTTCTCTCTCTTAATTACTCATTTTTCCCCACATCCTTCTCTTTCACCCAAATTCTGTTTTATGTCTAGTCCTCCTTAAAATGTCTATTGGAACGCCTGAACACGCATCAGAAGTCTTTTGTCAAGTGTATACGACCGGTTCTAATATCATCGTCACTGACGAATTCAATGACAAATCTGAATGACCCGACGAAATCTTCCAATCTGACCAGGCCATGCGCAGACGAGGAACACGTAAAATCACAGCTGATTACAGGGGGTCTTTTTGATGCCCTGCATGTTTTGCGCACTGCTTTTCCAGCACGGTAAGCACGTTAGAATAACCCACAGTTTTTCGTTCGTGTTTTTCCACATTGTAGAAGTGCACATGCAATTCACCATCACGACGAGACTGCACCTTGAAATGGTGTGATAGATTGCGCGCCTCCATGACCTTGCAAGCTACACT